CTCGCACTGGAGTACCCAAGGGTTCTCTGGTGTTGTTTCCATGCAAGGGAGTTCTCTGGAGTTCCCCGGCTTTCTTTACAGTGGCATGCAATGGAATGCCAAGCCACGCCAAGCAACGCCAAACAATGCCAAGCCGCATCAAGCAACGACAAGTACTGCCAAGTAGCGCCAAGCAGCGCGAAGCAGCGCGAAGCAATGCCAAGCAATGCAAATCAGCGCAACGCCAAACAATGCAATGCCAAGCAATGCCAAGCAACGCCGCTCAGTAAGCGTTCCCACAATTTGGGTCGCGCCGGGTTCATCTCTCTGTCGTTGGGACCTCGTGGGGCGCGGGATCCGCCTCGAGATCCCGGCTGGAGCACACCCGGGATGGGTCCGCGGGGGGATTATCGAGGGAGAGGCCCAGGTTGCCAACGTCTTGAAAATCCAAGGCCTAGAGTGCTTGTTTTTAATTGTCTGTCTCATGGCCTGCTTTCGGGCCCACGGGTTGTGAACAAACGATCCAGGCTACACGCCGATCGTTGAAAGTGGCGTTTTTCTGGATTCCCAAATCCCAATCTACTTCAAGCGCCTTCCTACTTCAAGAATCGATATGCTTTTCTGTGTTTTGTCATTCTCTGGGAGGGCCTGAACCCAATCCACTTTATCCGCCTTCCTACTTCATGTGTTTGCTGACTTCTTCCGAGCGACGTGTAAGGGGTCGGGAGTTGCAGAGACCCCGTCTTCGTACGTTTCGCGTTCCAGGGCTCTCATATTCGACAACGCGCAAAGGGGGGCAGGGGGAGAGGGGAAGGCTTCTTAGAAGGAGGCTTCTTCTTAGACGGCGCGGGCTTTGTCTACAGATGTAGAGCCGGCGCCTTCTAAGCGGCCTCCTTCTGAGACGCCCCCCCCCCTCCCCCTACCCCTTCTGCGCGCCGCAACAATCCGCAGCGGCGGCCAGATGAGCGACAGAAGAGCTTCAGGTGGGCGGTAATGGGGGGTGGCCTACATGAGGGGCGAAGAGAAGGGCCCTCAAGGGGCCCTTTACTCAAGGGCAGAAAAAACGCCCCTACCCTAGTTTACGAGGCGCTGTGCGCTGAAACTCCTGTGGGCTGACAGGGTAAACCCAGCGTGATGTGCCGCGTCCTGGCGGCTCTAGGCTTTGGGAGTTCTCAGGAGGTTTACAGACCGCGCCCTTGTAACCCAGGGTAGGGTCGTTTTTCCATCCCTCAATTTACGGCCCCTTTTGGGCCCCTGCTGGCTCCATCAGGGACCCTAGTGGGGCCCACTGAGGGCCCCTTTCTTCACACCCCATTTCGGCCACCTCCCACTGCCACCCGCGCGAGAGCCGCGGCGGCGAGATGACCGGCGTGAGAACCAGAGTCTCCATTGCGCGGAGATGTGCGCTTGCGGGGAGGCTGGACACACATATGCGGGCCAGGCCCAAAATCCGCCGCGGCGGCCAGATGAGCGATACAGTCGGGGCCCTGAAGAAGGAACCCCTTTCGTTGGGGAGGGGCTCCGCGTTCCTTAAGTGTTTCACAGCTTGCCTCAGGCTTTCCTTATGTCTTCGACAGGAAATCGAAGGTTGACTTATGGAAAAAAGGGGCCTCGTTCCTTATTGTGGGCTCCTTAGGTCAAGCCCCCGACTGTATGCGGGCCAGGCCCAAAATCCGCCGCGGCGGCCAGATGAGCGATGCAAGGAGCAGCGGCGGCCAGGCGAGCGAAGGAACAAGCCGGGGTCCACCTCCCCGGCCTTGCAGGTGGGGCCGAGTCTAGATGGGGTCGGAGGACCGCGCCGCATCGCCGATGCATCGGCCATGCGGCTCGATGTGGAGCCCGATTTGTTTCACGTCCACGGTGCATGCCCGATGCATCGGCGATGCGGCGCGATCCTCTGACCCCATCTACTCCGACCCCATCTAAGAGGCCTCCAGTCTGGCCTGAGTCTAGGAAGGAAACAAGCCCGAATTTCTCCACTCCGAGGGCGCCGATGCATCACCAACGTCGCCGATTCATCGACGATGCATCAGCGATGCGACGCGTTCCTCTGACCCCGTCTGTTCGGATCCCCTCTGGGAGGCCTCCACTCGCGCGGACATTCGGGCGTAAGTTGCCTATTGGCGCGTAAGCGGCCTGCGCAAGATGGCGCGTAAGCCCCCTCGTTTCCGATGCAGCCTGCCGCGCTGGCGGCCCGCGTAAGCCGCGGCGCAAGGTCGCCACGTCATCGTGCGTAAGACCCGTTTCCGTTCGTCGTTCAGAGGAGCATTTCAGGGGCAGCGAGGGGGGGGATGGGCTCAGGAGGAAGCGCATCGACGCCCAAGCGCCCAAGCATCGCCGATTGGGGGCCTGATCGACTAGTCCGGGAAAACGCCCAGCTTCGTCATCGAGGGCACATCACCGATCCATCGGCGATAAATCGCCGATACCTAGTCAGCATTTCACCCCCAGGACCAGACACCCACCCTACTTACAGTCGGACCGTGGTATAAGACCGAAGTCGGTTCGGGGAGGGTACCCTGGTGTTCTTGGTGTGTGTTGGATGTTCTTGTGCACCCTGGGGAGGGGACCCCTTGGATGTTTGTTTTGGCCAACGGAAGGTGTTATTCTGGCCTAGGTCCGACTGTGGCAAACAAATCACGACCAGAGCCCCCGACCCCATTTGTCTGCGCAATTTTTCTCGGGGGCGGCTTGGAGGGGGGGTGATGACTAGGGGGAGAGTTGATATCAGGGCGGCGGCCACAATATCTCCCAGATATCATGGCCCCCTCTTCTTTAAATACGTCTCCTGCCCCCCCCCCCTGGGCCGCGCACATGCATCGGGCCATGATCTGCGAACCCCCCTCTTGGACGCCCCCTTCATGGCTGTCCCCGAAGGCGGACGAGGAGGAGGAAGAGGAGGAGGAGGAGGAGGAGTTGAGACAATGAGCGGGAGAAGGAGGGAAGATGAGGGAGGAGGAGAGGAGCTCCCCAGAGGAGCGGGTGGTTCGGAGAGAGAGGCCACCGCTGGCAGGAAGCAGTGGCCCTCTCTGAGAATCTCTCTGCGGCCAATCTTCGACACCAGACCCCCCTCGTGGACGACGAGGAGGACGAGGAGGAGGAGGAGGAGGAGGAGGAGGGAGGGGGGAGGGGGGAGGGAGGGGGGGGGGAGGAGGAGGAGGAGCAGGAGGAGCAGGAGGAGGAGGAGGAGGAGGAGGAGGAGGAGGAGGAGCAGGAGGAGGAGGAGGAGGAGGAGGAGGAGGAGCTGGATCGCTACGTGAGGGCCTCGGGGCCCGACGCCCGGGCGAGAAACCGCCCCGGGGGGGCGTCCGATCCATCGCGGAGAGTGCCCGCCGAAGTCCGCGGCGGCGGCGTCGGGCCTGCCAGGCGCGCGGGTCGGGCGGGCGCGGGTGCGGTCGCGCGCGGGGCGAGGTCGGACGCCTCCGCCTCCTCCTCCTCCTCCTCCCCCTCCTCCACCTCCTCCTCCTCCTCCTCCTCCTCTTCTGCCAGGCGCGCGGGGGGCGGCCGCGGGGTGCGGTCGCGCGCGGGGCGAGGTCGGACGCCTCCACCTCCCCATCCTCCTCTGCTGGGGCAACTCTAGGCCTCCTAGATTCAGGAGCGAAAGAAGGACGTACACGTACATGAATCCACGCTGGTTTCGAGAGTACGCATAGCGCAAATGTTCGCATAACGCGGCAGGTCTCGCGGATCGAGGGGCCGTGTTCATGTACATAGCTGGGCGCGTACGTCCTTTGTGGGCTCCCTAGCGGCGGGCGGCCGCGGGGTGCGGTCGCGCGCGGGGCGAGGTCGGACGCCTCCACCTCCCCTCCTCCTCTGCTGGGGCAGAGCAGAGGAGGAGGGGAGGTGGAGTATCCTCTGCCTCCCCTCCTCCTCTGCTGGGGTATCCAGGCCTCCTCCTCTGCTGGGGCAACTCCAGGCCTCCTGGATGGGGCCGAGTCTAGATGGGGTCGGAGGATCGCGCCGCATTCGTTCGCCGATGCATCGGCGATGCATCGGCGATGCGGCTCGATGTGGGGCCCTATTTTTTCCGCGCCGACGTCGTGGATGCACCGCCGACGTCGCCAGTGCATGGCCGATGCATCGGCGATGCATCGGCGATGCTGCGCGATCCTCCGACCCCATCTACTCCGACCCCATCTAGGAGGCCTCTAGGGTACCATCCGGCAAATTTGTGCGACGAGATCACCGCTCGTCTCGTTCCCCTCGCTTGCAACTCGAGGCGCGATCTTCGCAACCGCAGTCGTGGCCCCATCGGCGGCAGCATGCGGCCGCGCTTGGTCCCCCCGCCCATGTCCGTTCTGGCCCCTGGACGGGCTTCCTGGAGCCACGGCCTCCTCCTCCTCGGCCCCCTCTGCCTCCCCCGTCCTCCTGGGAGGAGGTGCGAGGGCGAGGGGATCGAAGGCGAGCAGGACTGCCAGCGGGCGGCATTCAGTCTGATCCAGATGCTAGGCTGCGACGAGCAAGTCCCAAGCCGAGCACGTCGCTTGTGCACGAGAGAGAGAGAGAGAGGGAAGAACAACATCGAACGTCGCTGCAAATGTGCCACCAGCCACCCACCACAAAAGATGAATTCCCAGCACGCGCCTTGAAGACTGCTTCATCGAACAACCAGTGGGGATGGGTACGCGCTGCGGTGGCGCGCCACGCCACGACGGGGCACCGCACCTGCCTGGATGTGCCCTCCCGCGTGGTAAAGGATACGTAAGGCGCTGCCCAGAAGTTGCGATCGAGGACCCAGCCTTGAAGTACCTGCCCAGACCTCCGAGGTCGTGACTGCCTCCACACGTAGGCTCTAGGACTCTCGACCCCCTTTTCTGGGAACCCGCTGTTCGTCCCGTGATGTCTTTGATGGTCCAGAATTCCGTAAACGGCCTTTGAATTTGGTTGGAAGCCCCCAACATATGTGTTTGTTGATTTCAGAAACCTGGAGACCTGGGTGGTCCGTCTCGTTCGTGCGCCATCCACCTCGCCGAGGACAGGGAGGGGACTAGGGCAGGGGGGGGGTGGCGGCACATGCCAAGGAGCAGCCGTTCAGTCACCAGGGCAGCGTGTGCCTGGGCTCGGACCAGCAGCCCCTGCAGTCGCAGAAGAAGGCGGTGCACGCGCTCATCGAGGAGTACCGCTGTTGCTGCCCTCCTTCTGAGTAGGAGATCGGCTGCAGAATGGATTTACCCCAAACTTGATGTTGTCCAGTCGAGCCTGCGAGACGTACGTAGAGTGCTCCGTAGATCTACGGGACGGATCTGTTATGTGTGCTCGTAGAAGCAACCAGGGATGAAGCATTTATGTGGTCGATCTCCTACTCGATTCCCCGCCCCGAACTACACCCGCGCTTGCCTGTGGGGTGGTACCGTGGCTCAGGGCTGCAGGCGGGGGGGGGGGGGGGGGCGGACCTTGCACACGCGTGTGGCCTGAGCAGCGAGCATGTGTCTAAATCTGTAGCAGTCGGACAGCTTGCATTGCAGTCGAGGAGCGAGCGCACCGATTATTGAGAAGGCGGTACGGCCGTCGCTGCCGACGACGACGACGGCGGCGACGACGACGACGACGACGCTGACGCTCTGGTGCCCTTCTAACGCAGGCTGGGATGGCCCTGATTAGTGCGGGGATCTTTGCGTCAGGAGTAAGTGTGCTGCACGCTTGGTCACTACATAGTCTCACACGGAGGGTACAGAGCGAGAGAGAGAGAGAGAGGGAGAAAAAACAGCTGCAGACTGACTGACTGACTGACAAGCGGCTGTTGAACACTGGTGTGGTTGATCGGCTCTCTCAGTTACTGTATGTACACGTGCTCACGCATGATTAATGTTACACTTGTTGACGCGTGCCATAGGAAAAAAACGCCAGGCGCAGGGGCCGATGCGGACCCCGCCAGCGAGGGGACCGAACGAGGCCCGGCAGAACCACCGACAAAGGCCGAGGGCCGCGAGCGAAAAGCGAGGAGAGAGGCGAGGGAGGAGGAGCGAGACGGGCCATACAACATTTGCACATGGAATCTGCACATGTTCGCCGCCCCCGCCCGATTAGGGGTCCACATGTTGCCAAGTGCGCAAGGCTGCAAGCTCGATGGCCCCGAGCGCAGTGCAAGCACAGACGTCCAGAGAATTCACTACCGCTTTCAGCGGTCAACCCGCCAACCCGTCAACGTCCGTTGTCTTTTGCGGGAGAGAGAGCATAGAAGTCACTGAGAGAGCTGAAGCCGTCGCTATCTGTCAGCCTCTGCCAGCCTCTGCGGCGACGCGCGGTGGCAGCCGCCGTCGTCGTCGACGTCGACGTCGTCGTCGTCGTCGTCGCCGCCGCCGTCGCCGTCGAGCCTCGGCGACGATGGGCGCGCTGTCGGCGGCGCGCGCGGCTTCGCGAGGACGGCGAGCTGCAGCGCTCGGCGGCGATGCGCGCGGCGGGCCAGGGGACGCTGGTGCCCACCAGCGCGCGCCCCGTTGCGCGCGCGCAACGGGTGGCCCTCCTCTTTGTTCTCCTCATCCTCTTCCTCGTTCTCCTCCTCTTCCTCTGTTTCCTCCTCCTCTTCCTCCTCCTCCTCTTCCATCCCTCTCCTCCCGCTCTGCTCCATGCCCGCTGTCTCGGATATCCCGTGGGAGTCTACTAGGGGGCGTCTCAGAAGCGTCTTGAAATCAAGGGTGGAAACCACCCGGACCCCGACAGTCAGCGTTTGCTAAACGACCTTGGGCGTTTACTGATCAGCCCTGCCCTGTTCGATTCCTCCCTTGGGTGCGATTGCTAAACGGCTTCGCTTGTCGGGGTGCTTATTCTGGGGGGGTATTGTCTTTTCTCTATGAAAGCCATCTGGAGCCTCTCGGAGGGTCCCTCGGGGGCGTTCGGAGGCTTTTGCAGGGCCTCCATCGGAGGCTCTCTGGGAGACGCCTGCGGAGGCCACTCGGGGGGGAGGCGTGCGGAGGCTCCTGGGGGGGAGGTCCTCGGAGGCACCCAGGGGCGCCGATGGGCGAGCTGAGATCTGGGTCCTCCTGCTCTTCTTCCTCCTCGTCCTCCTGGAACCTGGAACCTGGTGGCGTGATGAGCTAGAACCTGGTGGCGTGAGGAGTCGTCGACTGGCGCCCCCCCTGGGGGCGTCTATCAAACTAAACAGCCTGTTCACGATAGTGACTGGCTGGCTGTAGCAAGTATAAGTAAGGAGGGAGGGGACACCGAACCATAATCAGATCATGACCACGAAGAGGAGTGATGAGGAGAGGTAGTCGGTGGCTTACGCAATGGGCGGCTCACTAACGGCTGAAACTCGCAGAGACGCTTTCAGAAACAGCCTTTTACCTATACACATACCACCGCCCAAAGAAGTGCAGATGCAAGGCGATTTTATGTTGATCAACTGGCGGGTTTAGAATGTCATGTGTAATTGCGAAGCCACGGCCGCCAGTGATATGGGCTTTTACCACCATGCAGTACGAGCAATACTGCGGATGCCCACGACTACCGCGGACGCGAAGCAACCGACCAAGCAGGGCAAACAATCCAACCAACCAGTGCCGAGTTGGCCGCCACGCGACCCGAGGCTCTACCAGCAGTTGCCTACAGACAAATGTGATGGCAGACTTCTGCACTTACAAATGCAGTTGGAAATTGAGGAGATGGAAAGCCTACGTGGCAAGGTAAAACAGCAACCACAGCGATAGTTTCCGACATCCAGCTAGAACCTGGCACAATAGTCAGCGATGCCCGAAAGCAGACCACGCAGAAATCGCCATCTTTATTACAAGTAAGACGTCATCATCTGGCATGACGGCCAGGAGGCGGCTGAACACGGCTATGCGGAAAGAGACGAAGCCATCCGGAGAGCGACACAAAGAACCTACATAGACAATATATTGACAGAGTAGAAGAGAGCATAGAAGTCATACAAACAGGAAGCGACAATCTCTAGTATAATTAGCCTGTGCAGACCGCGAGACACAGCACGACAGACAATCAATGTGATTGTCTATTGGACCCCAAGTGAGGAGTGCAAACGACACCGAGCATAATCAACCCGGGAGTTCCAGCTTCTACTATTCGGGAGCTCGACGTCGCCTTGCGGAGAATTCGTTACAGCAGCAAAAATGAAGATTGGAGGCAACATGAAAGCAGGTTCTCCTGGATCTCTACAACAGCTTTGGAAGCCCGACGACACCGAATTGAACCGAACTGTGGGGAAATGCGATTATCAAAGTAACCCACAGGAGTGGCAAGTCTCAGTTATTTCAAAATTCCCGACCTTTCACAACCACGCCGCTAGTTTTTTTTTGTTCTCACGATTTTTCAGCCGCTGAAGCCTAATCTTCGACGAGCGAACGGTTCTGTCAAGGACAGCCGCGGTTGATTTCAAGGACAGCCTTCGGCACGGTCACCCCCCAGAGCATTTGGCGAGCACTCAGTGACCAAGGAGGACCAGCGGCGTATGCGCAGTTATTGGCCAAACGTGCACGATGGACAAACAGCTACAGTCCGAACAGACCGGATGAGCAGAGAGTTTCAAATGTAAAGGGTCATGCAGCAGCGAAAACCGTTGAGCTCTCTCTTTTTTCAATTGGAGCATCCGGCAGAAGTGGTTTAAGAAACGGATTGGGCGACAGTTACTAGATGGGCACGAACGTCTTACCAACCTCTGGTTCGCAGATGGCATCAAATTAATTGTTGGGTCGCTGGGCCACATCACTGGCACGTTGGACGACTTGAGCAAAGTGGTGGCCAAAACAGGGTTCGAGTTATATCCAGATTGGAGAAAATCCTGCGCAATGGTCACCGAGGTTTTGGTATTGAAAAAGCCAACAGCCACGCGGCAGCCAACGGAATGCCCATGGATATTTCACCGCCGTACAGTTTGACGAACTATCTTGGGAGGACGTTGCAATTCAACGAGTTCTATTTTGCCGAGATGGAAGACCGCATTTCGGCGGCATGGAGAAAATACGTTGCTCTGCGGGCAGCATGTGTTAGGAAATTATTACATGAACAAGCAAATTCGGCTCTGCCATGAGACGTTGTACCGATTGTGATTGATGGGTGTGGCTCACGGACATTGACAGTGGAAATGGAAGCTCGATTCCGGATAACACAGCGCCATATGTACGTGATGTTGCGTGCGCCAAGACGCCGAGACCTACGACCATTTAGATGTGGGCCGTCTTTTCAAGACGATTCTGATCTTGAGCCACTGGCATATTAACCCGACGACCAACCCACAATGTTGAAAACATGATGGGGAAAGCACGAATCACACATTGGATATCAACCCACCGTCAGCGAAATTGGAGATGGACCCGGAAAGTCCGCAACGCGGCAGAGCACGAATGGACATCTCAAGTGTTATGGTGGGACCGTGAGTGCGGTGCAATGTTTGGTTACGATGGCGACAAGGACATCCGAGGAGGTGGTCGTCGGATGGTATTGCACTTACGCAGGACCTGAATGGGGCTCTGAAGCATCATCGGACACTGGGATTTTACTCGAGGCAGCCTATGTAGGCAGGATAGCGCCTGCTCTGTCTTATTGGTTTGTTGATATTGCAGGCGTGTGCGTGGAGGTGCTGCTTGACACTTGTCTCAGTCTTGTCTGGCGCCACGGCGCCAACCTGCCACGCCCCCCGCCGGCGACAATTGCAGGTCCGATGTCCGATGTCCGATATCTATTGAGCTCGGTTGTGCCGTCTTGGGGCTGCATTGGCCTCCTGTGAGCAGTGTTGGGGGTCCCTGAGTGCCCTGTTTGGCCGTCCCTAGGCCCTCTTACGCCGCTGTTCGTGTTTTGTTGGGTGTATGGGGGCTTCAGTGGTGCCGTATTGGCGCCGTCTTGGGCCGTCGAAGGGCCTTCCAAGGCCGTCTTGGGTCCCGCGGGAGGCCCTCTTGGGCCGTGTTGGGGCCGTATTGGATGTTTCTTGAGCCATCGTGGTCTCCTCTTGGGACGTCGTGGGGCCCTCGTGCGGGCCTCTTGACCGGTCCTGGAGCTATCGTGGAGGCTTCTTCGGCCGTCTTGAGCTGTGCGAAGCCCGACATGGCGAGAATGCGACATCTAGATCGTAATAGCCAAGGGAAGATCAATGATTGTGGCCTTTTTCCTGGTCCTTTGGGAGGTCCGTTCGTGGCCTTGTTGTGCCCTCGTGGGGGCATCTTGGGCCGTCTCGGGACCAGATTTGGCCGCCACGGGGCCATGTTGGCCAGCATTCTTGGCATATCGGGCCATCTTGGTTGCATTGGTTGCTTGCGTGGGCTGTCTTGGATGGTCGGGCCGCAGACACGTAGTTTTTTCCAGAAGGACCATGGCCTCGGGAGCGCGGACCCATTGTTTTACGACGGATCGTGGCCTCGTGGAGGGGAAGGCACGCAACAATTTGCTATTAAAGAGGGGGGCGCCTTCTAAAAATACAGCACCGTAAAGGGCAACACGTGGCATAGAAACATGCCCTAACGTGCCAGGGTAGACTCCAAAAATTACGAGGATCCCCTTCTTCGGCTGTATTTTCCTCTTGCTCCTTACCGTCCTCCTTCGTTTTCCTCCTCCTCCTCTTCCCCCTCCTCCTCCTCCTCCTCCTCCTCCTCCTCCTCCTCCTCCTCCTCCTCCTCCTCCTCCTCCTCCTCCTCCTCCTGGTCCGCTTCACTTCTTCTCGCGCTCGTTCTCCATTTCTCGTCGTGCGGGGTGAAGGGCTACAGATCTTGGCGTGCACGCGTTCCGTGCAGGTTCACGAATCAAGTTCGGATTTCCAAAGGGTCTGTCGTCGGGAATGAACAACCCCACATGGGGATTGGCAAGGTGGTTGCCAATGTTTGCGTGCCCCGTGTCTGTCTCACCCAGGCGCGGCAGGGTGAATGAATGGTCACTTGTCCCTTGTGTGCAACTGCATGCAAGGCAGTTATGCGAATGCGGAAACATCGGCAGTGGCCAGTTGAAAGATGAGCACGGTCATTTGCGAGGTGGGTGCTCATTTCATCGCGAAGTATGCTTTGTATGGCACTGGAGACAAGTCGATCTTCAGTGGTTGGTCCTCCATTTCTTCTTCCTCGTCCTTGCGATTGTTTTCTTCCTTGTTGTCAACTTGCTCCCCTCGCTGCCCTCCCCGTCATCCAGGCTGTCATCCTCGTCATCCTCCGCCTTGTCGCCATCACCATTCACTTCTTCCCCCCCCACGAGCCCAATCAACAATATCGGCACTTCCAGCTTGTGCCCGATCAGGTTTAGTCGCGGGCCCTCGGGTCTCCCGACTCTTTCCTTTTGGCCGGCTTTTCATCCAGGCCGTCTTCTGACGGCCTTCAACGAGGCCCACACTTTTTTGGTTTGGGCCCAGATCTCCGATGCCGGGACTGCTTCACAGCGTGAACCCTTCGGATGTATAGACCCATTCCCCAGGAGGAGGGTTCCCACCGAGCCGGATTTTTCGAGCATCGTCAGAAACTTCCCGTCGTGTTTTGTTTGGGCGACGGGGGCAAGTCTGGGCCAGGTGGCTTTCGTGCCATGGCCTGGGCCTCCCGCTGCCTTTTTCTGACGACCTGGGCACCCCGCCGATCGCTCTCGGCGAGGCGCGGCGCGAGGCGCGGCTGCTGACAAGCACTGCGAGGCGAGTAGACCTCCAAGAGCCAACGAAAACCCTCCCGTCGCGGCCCTCCTCTGGCTCCGCGGCGAGAGGAGGCCGGGCGACCCGCGACCCGCGGGCGGGGGGGCCAGCGCCGAGGCCAGTGGCCGAAGCCGCCGCGGTGCCACGTGCTGCACGGCGGGCCGCGGCAGCCACGGGGAAGACAATCCGACGACGGCGGCGACGGCGACGGTGACGACGGCGACGGCGGCGACGGCGACGACGGCGACGACTGCGTCGACGACGATGGCGACAGCGCGACGACGACGATGGCGACGGCGGCGACGGCGGCGACGGCGGCGGCGGCGGCGGCGGTGGCGACGGCGGCGACGACGAGAGGCGTCGACCTCGGTGGCGGCGGCGACGACGCCGACGCTCCGGAGGCCGACATCGACGAGATCGATGTCGACGTCGACACCCGTGACAGCAATTGCGACAACATCCAGCGACGATGAAGACAATTTGGATCACCGACGATCCGTTGTTGTTCAATTCTGGCATGTTTCCTCGAATTCGGCTTCTGCTGCGGCATCAAAAATAGTCTGGGACGGAAGACTACCCCACGGAAAGGATCGGGCTATCCAGGGCCGCGCATTGAGAAGATCATATTGTATCGTCGGAGGTCTGGGGACGGAGACGACGACGAAGACGGCGGCGACGACGACGACGACGACGACGACGACGACGACGACGACGACGACTGCGGCGTCGACGGCGGCGGCGGAGGTGGCAACGTCGACGTCGACGTCGTTCTGGAGGTTTCCGGGGATTCCTGGAGGTCCTCGTCGCGCCATCGGTCGCGCACGGCTCTTCGGAAGCGGGTCGGGGATGGGCCCCGCGAGGGGCTTGGGGACCGGTTCCGACACAGCTTCGGTTTGACAGCCATTGTGGCCAAGATGATGACGACGACAACGTATACCGCCCTGTGGCGACATCGGTGGGGGGTCCTCTTCCTTCCCCCACGGATGGGGAGGGAGGAGCAGGGAGGGGGGGAGTGGGCACGAGGGACAGGAGGAGGGCGGAAGGAGGAGGGGGGAGGAAGGGGGACCTCCATCGATCATTCCTCATCCTCGTTTTCCTTTTCGGCCCTCGCTCCCCCTCCCTTTCCGCTACGGTCAGGAGCGTTGGCTTAACGTGTCGCGCCGCCAGTTTTGGCCCACCACGTTCCGGCTCGACATGCCAACCACATCCCAGTCCCCAAGCATCAACGTTCCGAGTCTTTCCCGGCCTCCCTCCCTGCGAAGCGGAGCCTCACGCTATCAGTTCACGGGGCATAGCGTGCCGCGGAGGCTGCCGCCGCGACACGCTGAAGAAAAGTTCCTCGCCGTAGCCTCCCCCATCCGACCTTCTCCCCGTCATCATCCGTAATCATTGTGGTTCAAGCCGCTGTGGTTCAAGCCGAAACGTCGGCCCGAAAGCTGGGCGCAGCTGCCCTTACCCTACTCACCCTTCATCAGATCAGAGCGGTTTCGAAATCGTTGGGATGAATGTTTAGGTGGCCAAGCCCCTGGAGGTAATCGGCGTGACGCAGGCAGACTTCAGTGAAACATGGCGAGGAATTATCAGATCATGCCCTTGTGCTAGCATCACCGGTAAAAGTATCTCAGGACGGTCGCAAGGCTCAGAACGGGCGTCAACGTAGAAGATTGTTGTTGGCATGCGCGCGTCCTCCAGCGTTGGCAGCAGAGACAGCGACGGTCGTAGTTTCCAAGAAGGCGTTGCCAAGAAGGCTCGTGAGATTCGCTCTGATCCATTTCGTTATGGCTCGCCCGATTTTCTGTCCAAGGAGATTAGTCGTGGCTTCGGGGTTGAGGTCACGCGGCAGGTTCCTTTTTTGAGGCAGGCGCTGCATATTAGAATTTCTCGACGAAGGTTTACGGTTGCTTTGCTATCGGTCGATAGCGCGGCGGAAACCATCGCCACGTTTCCGGGGAAAAATCCCGACGATTTCCCTCCTGTCACGCCAAGTGGTGAGAGGATCCTGCGCCTGAGGACCCTGCGCCACGTGCGCAATGTCGATGCCACGGGGATGGGTGGCAAGCAAAGACATTCAGGCTCAGCTGCGTGTTTGACGACCGGGAGCTCAATATGCATTGTTCCGCTCCTTCTGAGGTTCGGTAGCCTTCGCGGGAGCTCGCCTCTTTCTCGCGCGCAGGTCGGCACGCAGAAAACCCGTTCGTCTCAGGGGTGATCGAGGCGGAGGGATGCTTTCCGTTTGCGCGAGCGAGACAATGTCCACCACCACGCGGGCGGAATGCCCGAGGGTTTGCCCCCAGTGCCTCTAGAAGGATCGAGCCAATATTGGGCGGAAGCTCATCAGTTGATCTGCCAGGCGCTACCGGGCCGCACTCAAGGGCTTCGCGGTAACTCCCGAGACGGGATGGCGTTCGTCAGGGAGTTCCGAAGCACGGGTTCTGCTCCAACCCGCATCCTGGTGGCACTCCTGGGCATGGGTTCCAGCATCGTTGCAGGAAAAGGCCTCGGATCAGGCTGACGCTTTAGATCAGAAGGTGATTTTCCTTGGGGAAGCACCGCATGCCCCCAGCGGGGGGCAGCCAGCACAGTGGGGATCGTCCCTGGCCCAGGGTGCCCCCAGGATCTCCAGAGAGGCCCTCGCGGCCCCCAGAGCACCGCCCCTCGCGAGGCCCCGAGGGCCCCAGGGTCGGGAGACTCTCCATGGGGGGGGGGGGATCCCATGGGGGGGGCAGGAGGGGATCCCCCCCATGGGATCCCCTCCTGCCCACCCCCCCATGGGATCCCCAGGGGCTCCTGTGGGATCCCCCCCCCCCTGGGATCCTCAAGTGGGCGCGAAGAGCTGGAGGAGGAGGAGGAGGAGGAGGAGGAGGAGGAGGAGGAGGAGGAGGAGGAGGAGGGCGCTGGGCCAGGCAGCACCCCACTGGCGCGCGGCCGACGACCACACCCATCGGGCCCCGGCCGAGGCGAGACCGGCGCGCGACCAGCGCGCGACCAGCGCGGCGTCGGGGCGCCGGGCAGTGGCCGCTCGGCCGCGGCGGGAGGGCTTCCCTGCGCCCGGCGCCCGCCGCCCGGCGCCCGCCGCCAGGTCGGTCGACAGCTACGACCTCGGCGTCATGAGCGGGGGGAGGCACGGGAGGACCCCGAGGGGGGAGCCGTCCTCCTGGCATCGCCGCACGCTCCCCGTCGCCCTCGCTCTTTCTCCTCCTCGCCCTCCTCCTCGTCCTCCTCGCTGTCCTCGCGCTCTGGCCTCTGTTGGCGGCTCAAGCTTTCTGGCCGTCGGTGGCCCCCCGTTGCCACGACTGGATGCAGCTCGAAAGATTCGAGTGCGTGCGTCCGTGTGTGTGTGTGTTTGTGTGTGTTTGTTGTATTTGTGTTTGTTTGTTGTGTTTGTGTTTGTGTGTGTTTGTGTGTGTTTGTGTGTGTGTTTGTGTGTGTCCGTGTGTGTCCGTGTGTGTTTTTGTGTATGGTGTGGGTGTGGTGTGGGTGTGGTGTGGGTGTGTGTGTGTGGGTGGGTGTGGGTGTTGGTGTTGGTGTTTGTGTGCGTGTGCGTGCCTGTGTCGTTGTGTGTGGTTGCACGTGTGCGTGTTTATGTGTGTGGTGTGGTGTGGGTGTGGGCGGTGGTGTGGGTGTGGATATGGGTGTGGAGGTGTTGTTGTCTGGGTGTCTGGTTGTCTGGTTGCTTGGGTGTCTTGGTAGATTCATAGATGGGTGTCCGGGTGTCTGGGTGTTTGGGTGTCTTGGTGTCTGGGTGTGCGGATCTGTGGTTGTGCCTGTGTGTGGGTGGGTGTGGGTGGGTGTGCAGGTGGGTGTGTAGGTGGGTGTGTGGTTGAGTGTGTGGGTAAGCGGGTGGGTGTAGGTGGGTGTGGGCGTGTGTGTGTGTGTGTGGGTGTGTCAACTGTCTGCGCTTGTGTCTGTATATATGTGTGGACGTGGGCGTGGGCGTGTGCGTGTGCGTGTGTGTGTGTGCGCTTGTGTGAGTTTGTGTGTGATGTGTGTGTGGTGTGTGGTGTGTGTACGTGCGTGCGTGCGTGCTTGCGTGCGTGTGTGAGTTCGAGGGTGCGTGGGTGCGTGGGTGCGTGTGTGTGTGAGTGTGTGGGTGTGTGTGGGTGGGTGTGGGTGTGTGGGTGTGTGAATGTGTGTATGGGGGGGGCGTGTGTGTTTGTGTGTGTGCTTGTGTGCGTGCGTGTGTGTGTGTGTGGGTGTGGGTGTGCGTGCGTGTCTCCGTGTGTGTGTGTGTGGTGTGTGCGTTGTGTGTGTTGTGTGTACATTTGTGTACGTGTGTGTGTGTGTACGTGTGTGTGTGTGTGTGCGCGTTTGTGTGTGCGTGCGTATGAGTGTTCGAGTGTGTGGGGGGGGGTCGTGTGCAGGTGTGTGTGTGGGTGTGTGCGGGTATGTGCGGGTGCGAGCAGGTGTGTGTCTGTGTGTGCGTTGGGCTATGCGGGTGTGTGTGTGTGTGCGTGTGCGTTTGTTTGTGCGCGTGGGTGTGCGGGTGTGTGTGTGTGTGCGTGTGCGGGTGCGTGGGAGTCTGCGTGTGTTTGCGTATCTTTGTGCGTGCGTATGTTCCTGCTTGTGTTTGTATGTTTGCGTGTGTGCGTCAGTGTGTGTGGTCGTTTGTGGTTGTACGTGTGCGCGTGCCTGTTTGTGTGTGTGCCTGTGTGTGTCGGTAGTGTGGTAGGGGTGTGGGTGCAGGTGTGTGTGTGTGTGTTGGGGTGGGTGGGTGTATGTGTGTGTGGGTTAGCGTGATTGTGTCGGTTTGTGCGCGTTTGTATGTGTGCGCGTGTGCGTGTGTATGTGTGTGTGTGTGTGTGGGTGTGCGTGTGTGTGCGTGCGTGTGTGTGTGTGTGTGTGCGTTTGTGTGTGTGTGTGCATTTATGTGTGGTGTAGGTGTGGGTGTGTTTGTCTTGTGTGTGCGGGTGTTTATGGTTGTTTGTGTGTGCGTGTTTTTGTGTGTGTGTGTCTGATTGTGCGTGTGTGGGTGGTGTGGTGTGGATGTGTGCGTGTGCGGGTGTGTGGGTGTGGGTGTAGGTCTGGGTGTGGGTGTGGTTGTGGTTGCGTGGTTGTGTGTTCGAATGGCTTTGCGTATGTGTGCGTACCCTGTGCCCCAGTCGTGCTTGCCCCGCTTCCTGGACTCTTCCTCGGAGCCACCAATCAAAAAAGTATGTGTGCGTGCGTGTTTGTGTATGGATGTTGGTGTGTGGGTGTCGGTGTGTGCGTGTGTGTGTGTGTGTGTCTGTGTGTGTGGTGCGGGTGTGGGTGTGGGTGCGGGTGCGGGTGTGGATGTGGGTGTGGGTGTGGATGTGTGTGCGTGTTGGTGTATGTATGTGTGTGCGTTTGTCTGAGTGTCTGTTTTTGGTTGTGTGTGTGGTGTGGGTGTGTGGGCGGGTATGGGCGCAGGTGTGGGTGTGGGTGTTGGTGTGGAGGTGTCTGGGTGTCTGGTTGTCTGGGCGTCTGGTGTCTAGGTGGCGTATGGGGGTCTGCAAGTCTGGGTGCCTGGGTATCTGGGTGATTGGGTGTCTGGGTGTGCGGGTGCGCGGGTGTGCGGATGTGCGTGTGGGTGGATGTGGGTGGGTGCGTGGGTTGGTGTGCGGGTTGGTGTGTGGATGTCTGGGTGGGTGTGTGGGTGTGTGTGTGTGCGCGCGTGGATCGGTGGGTGGGTGTGGGTGTGTGTGTGTGTGTGGGTGAGTGTGTGCGTGTGTGTGTGTGTGTGCGGGTTTGTGTGTGGGTGTGTGTATGGGTGTGTAGGTGTGCGTGCGCGTGTGCGTGTGATTCGGTAGGTGGGTGTGGGTGTGAGGGTGTGTGTATGTATGGATGTGTGTTTGGATGTGTGTGTGTGTGTGGATGTGTGTGGTGGTGTGTGTGTGGGTGTGTGTTGGTGTATGCGGATGTCTGCGGGTATGTGCGTGTGTGTGCGTGTGTGTGTGTTTGTGGGTGCGGGTGTGCATGCGGGTGTGTTCCTGCGTGTGTATTCGTGTGGGTGTGCGTGTGCCTGTGCTTGTGCCTGTGCCTGTGCGTTTGCGTGTGAGTTTACGTGTACGTATGCGTGTATGTGCGTGCGTGTGTGTTTGTGCTTGCGGTTGCGTTTGTGTGTGTGTTTGCATGTGCGTGCATGCGTGTGTGTGTGTGTTCGTGTGTTTGTGTGTGCCTCTGTGTGTTTTTGCGTGTGCGGCGTGTGTGTGTGTGTGCGGTGTAATGAGGGTGTGGCTGTGGGTGTGGGGGTGGGAACGGTCGCGTGCGTAGGCATGAGTGTGAGTGCGGGTGTGGGTGTGAATGTGGGTGTGCGGGTGTGTGGGGGTACAGGTATGTGGGTGTGCGGGTGTGTGTATGAGTGTGTAGGTGTGCGGGTGTGTGGGTGTGTGGGTGTGTCGTCATTTGGGTGTGTGTGTGTGTGGGCGTATGGGTGTCTGGGTGTGTGCGTTTTTCGGTGTCTGTGAGTCTGGGTGTGTGGAGGTCTGGGTACCTGGGTTCCTGGGTGTCTGGGTATTTGGTTGGTTGGTTGTGTGGGCGTGTGGGTGTGCGGGTGTGCAGGTGTGTGGGTGTGTGGGTGTGCGTGGGTGCGGGTGTGGATGTCGGTGGGTGTGTAGGTGTGAGTGGGTGTGGGTGTTTTGCCTCCAGGGGGACCTCTCGTCGCCACGCAGGGACGCATGTCGAACATCTGGTGCGAGCGGGCGCCCCCCGTGCGCGGGCCTCGGCGGCGGCCCCCGTGGGATCCGGCAGTGCCCCAGCTAAGGGCAGGCGACGTTCGCTGCGGGAGAGCCCGAAGGGGCGGTCAACCCGAGAGTTGGCGGGCGAACAGTCCGAGAATTGACAGGCGACTAGCTCGATAATCGGTGGGCGACCCACCCGAGATCCAGCGGGCGATTAACTCAAGGACGGGCCGATCATCCCAAGACGTTGCGGACGACGGTACAAGGCCCCCTGCGGAAGGCAGTGCAGCGATGTCCTCCTTGCGGTAGACAGTGGAATACAGTCGGGGTGCTGAAGAAGGAACCCTTTTCGTTGGGGAGGGGCTCCGTGTTCCTTAAGTGTTTCACAGCTTGCCTCAGGTTTTCCTGGTGTTTTCGACGGGGAATCGAAGGTTGACCCATGGGAAAAAAGGGGCCTCGTTCCTCATTTAGGGTTCCTTAGGTCAACGCCCCGACTGTAGTGAATCCCCGCGGGAGGCAGCACAAAACCCCAGCCGCTGGCAGCGCAACACTCCCTTCAGAAGTCTACGGCAGCGCTCCCTGCGATCGGCAGGCCCCGCAGCTCCCGAGGGAGCCGCCGCGAAGAGGAGAGGGGGTCCTGAGAGGACGCAGAAGGCAAGCGAGGAGGAGGGGAAGGGGGGAAGGAGGAGGAGGAGAAAGGGGAGGAGGAGAAGCGAGGGCAGCGAGGAGGAGGAGGAAGAGGAGCGAAGAGGAGGAGGAGGAGCGAGGAGGAGGCGGAGGAGGAACCAGGAGAAGGAGGAGGAGGAGGATCGAGGAGGAGGAGGAGGAGGAGGAGGAGGAGGAGGAGGAGGAGGAGGAAGAGGAGGAGGAGAAGAGGGGGTCCTGAGGGGAACAGCTCCCAGGCCCCGGGGCGCTCCCCAGGGCCGGCTCTTCATCCTCGGGAGGTCCCTGCGCGGCTCTGGGGCCCCGCGGCGGCCCCAGTGGGGGCTCGAGACCGGTGGCAAACAGCCAGGGGCCCCTCCCTCGTCCTCGTGCTCGCTCCCTCCCTCGTTCTCGTCGCCTTCGCCGTCGTCGCCCGTGTCGTCGAGCTGTCGCCCCTGAAGGGGCAATTCATACCGATGCCCCCTCTCCGATGCCCCCTTTTGCTCCAATTTGTCATCCGGAGTGCGCCCCTTGCCTCCAGGGCCGCCCCCCCCTCCAGGACCCGTTCGCCTCGTGCCCAACGGGAGCTCGAAACAGGCCTGCAGGCGCGTGCCCTTCTCCGGCGCCCCGTCGCCCCAGCTCCCTGACCTGGTGCCTCGAGCCCGTCATGCTCCTCCCCATCGAGCCCCCCTGCGCGCCTCCTGGAGGATCACGGGGAACTACTCCAACGTCATGTACGAGGTATGGGCTGGGAGGGCGGCGCGACGGGAGCCTCATCTCGTTAGGAGGAGGAGGAGGAGGAGGAGGAGGAGGAGGAGGAGAAGGAAGAGGAGGAGGAGGACGAGGAGGGGAGGGGAGGAGGGAGGGGGAGGCGAGGGAGGGAGGGAGGGAGGGAGGGAGGGAGGGAGGAGGAGGAGGAGGAGGAGGAGGAGGAGGAGGAGGAGGAGGAGGAGGACGCGGGGGACCAGGGATGACAACCAGAAGAAGATGGTAAATTGTTGGTGCCGCCTTACACCGTGATCCCTGGACGTCTCCGCAGGCCCTCCGCAACGCGCATCTGGAGGCCCCCCCAGAACAATACTTCAAATCCTCCCTCCTCGACCCTCGAGGGCCGATGGCAAAAGTTCAGCAGGGAGAAGGAGGGATGGGGGAGGGCAGCATAATCGTAGGCGGCGAGGGCCGTCCTCTCTTGCCTCGATTCCGTGCACGACGGTCCAGCACCCGTGGCAGTGGGCAACGTGTTGGCCACCAGGGCTGCCAGAGGGCCCCAGCTCCATCGCCCCCCGAAGAAGAAGACGGGGAGAAGGAGAGGGAGGAGGAGGAGGAGGAGGAGGAGGAGGAAGCAGAGGAGGAGGAGGATTTGTTCTGATATGCCCCTGGGGCTCTACACCGTGTGTTCCTTGTGCCGTGAGGCAAACACCTCTTCACCGTAATCTCATGACGCTTCGGAGCCTTCCCCGCGCACTCCTGTGCGCGCGAGCAGCGCGCGCGGAGTGGGGCAGGGGAGGGAGGGATGAGGGAAGAGGGCGAACGCGCGCGCATGCACGCGGAGGAGGAGCAGCAGAGGACAGGAGCATGCGAAGGAGGACGTCTCTCCGCTCTCCGCAGGTCTCCAGATGTCCCCGGAGGCCTTTGGAGATCTGAAGGACCCTTCTGAGGGCCAAGACGGCCTCAGCAGTGGAGGTGGTCAAGCGCGGTACAGGGTAGTCATTAAGAAGACAATAGTGGACCCCCCCCTGGGATCCTCACATCCCCTTGTCGTGTTGAATTTACACACGGTTCTGCCCCATCGTCCTTTCAAATTTGCATTTACCAATCTGGGCGCGAAAGGCCCGTGATAGACCCCCTGGCGCCCCCCTTTGGGAGTACTGAAAGCAGCGCCTCGCCTGAGACATTCTCAAAACGTGTGTGTGTGAGTCTGACCGCGGAAGTACCAGGAGTGTGAGTGAGTCTGCATATGAGCGATCCCGAGCATGAGAACCGGAGTTTCAAAAATGTAAGAGCGAGTGCATCTGAGTATGAGTGAGTCTGAGTGTGAGTAAGTCTGCATGTGAGTGAGTCAGAGAATGATGACCTGAGTGTGGTAGGTGTGTGTGTGTGTGTGGGTTCTCTTTCTCCGCGCGGTCAAAGTAATAACAAGAACCCCATCCTTAGGATAATGGGAAAACATCTAACAAGCACAGGTTTTCGCAACACGGAGTTTCAACACAAATGCTCGCTATTGCGAATTCTGTATCTATATATATATATATATATGTATATATACATACATACATACATACAAACATACATACATATATATATATATATATACATTGCCCCGGCAACCGGGGTTTCCAGTTCGAGCAGGCGCCGAAGACGCTATTTGAAGACGCTATTCCATGTGACGGCGCGTCCCTGTGAAGACGCTGTTCTTTGTGAAGACGCTATTTCCTGTGAAGACGGTGAAGACGCTATTTCGGGTGAGGACGCTATGTCGGGTGAAGACGCTATTCTGGATGAAGACGCTATTCCCGGTGAAGACGCTATTCCCGGTGAAGACGGTAATCTTTGTGAAGACGCGCTCTGCGGAAACAGACAGCACTTCCCTTATGAAGACGATACTCCCTGTGAAAACGCTATTCCCGGTAAAGACGCCGTTCCTCGTGAAGACGCTTTTCCCGGTGAAGACGCCATTACTTGTGAAGACGCTATTGCGGGTGATGGCGCTACTCCCGGTAAAGACGCTATTCCGGGTGAAGACGCTACTCCTGACGAAGACGCTAGTCCCTGTGAAGACGCTATTCCCTGTGAAGACGCTTTTCCCGGTGAAGACGCTATTCTGGGTGAAGACGCTATATTCCAGGTGGAGACGCTATTACTTGTGAAGACGCTATTCCGGGTGAAGACGCTATTCCGCGTGAGGACTATTCCTTGTGAAGACGCTATTCCCAGATAAGACGCTGTTCCCGGTGAAGACGCTATTCCCGGTGAAGACGGTAATCTTTGTGAAGACGCGCTCTGCGGAAACAGACAGCACTTCCCTTATGAAGACGATACTCCCTGTGAAAACGCTATTCCCGGTAAAGACGCCGTTCCTCGTGAAGACGCTTTTCCCGGTGAAGACGCTATTACTTGTGAAGACGCTATTGCGGGTGATGGCGCTACTCCCGGTAAAGACGCTATTCCGGGTGAAGACGCTACTCCTGATGAAGACGCTAGTCCCTGTGAAGACGCTATTCCCTGTGAAGACGCTTTTCCCGGTGAAGACGCTATTCTGGGTGAAGACGCTATATTCCAGGTGGAGACGCTATTACTTGTGAAGACGCTATTCCGGGTGAAGACGCTATTCCGCGTGAGGACTATTCCTTGTGAAGACGCTATTCCCAGATAAGACGCTGTTCCTGGTGAAGACGCTATTTCGGGTGCAGACGCTACTTCCCGTGAAGATGCTATTCTGGGTGAAGGCGCTATTTCGGGTGAACACGCTATTCCAGGTGAAAACGCTATTCCCGGTGAAGATGCTATTCCCTGTGAAGACGCTATTCCGTGTGAAGACGCTATTCCCGGTGAAGACGATATTCCGGGTGGATGCTATTCCGGGTGAAGACGTTCTTCCGGGTGAAGATTCTATTTTTCGTGAAGACGCTATTCCGGGTGAAGACGCTATTCCCGGTGAAGACGCTATACCGGGTGAAGACGCTATTCGTTGTGAAGACGCTATTCAGGATGACGCTATTCCCTGTGAAGATGCTCCTTCTCTTCACCACGCCCAGTATTCAACGCGTCCCCCTCCCAATTGTAATTTGAATGTGCCATTTTACTTTGCGCTCTCCGTGCCTAACACAACGCGCGCCCCATCTGCTGTGCGACAGCCTCTGCTAGGCAAGACCCCTCCCCCAGTTGATTGAAAAATAATCCTTGGTGCTAGACATGCCCCAACTGCTGTGCAACACCCTCTTCTGGGCAAGACCTTGACCGGAGGACCCCTCCCCAAGTTGAGTTTAAAAAAGGGTCTTTGGTGCGTGTCGTGCCCCATCTGCTGTGCAGCACCCTCTGCTAGGCAGGATCTTTCCCCAAGCTGGTAAAACAAACCCGTGTTGTTAGACGTGCCCCATGTGCTCCGCGGCAAAAAAATCTTCGGTTCTGGACATGCCCCTCAGCTGGGCGGCACTTTTTGTTGGGCAAGAACCCTCCCCAGGTTGATTTAAAAAGGATCCTTGGTGCTAGGCGTGCCCCACCTGCTGGGTGGCAGCTTCTGCTAGGCAAGACCCCTTCCCCAACTTGTTTCAAACAAAAATCCATGGTGTTAGACGTGCCCCATCTGCTGAACGGAACATTCTGGTAGGCAAGACCCCTCCCCAATGTGATTAAACAAACATTTTCGGTGCTTAACGTGCCCCGTCTGTTGTGCGGCACCCTCTCCAAGGTGAGCCCCTTTGTTGTGCGGCACCTTCTGCTGGGCAAGACCCCTCCCCAAGGCAATTTCGAAAGAATCCCTGGTGCTAGACATGCCCTTTTGCTGTGCGACACCTTTGCAAGGCAAGACCCTCGCCAAGCTGATTTAAAAAGAATGTTTGGTGCTGGGAATGCCCCTTTGTTGTGCGGCACCCTCTGATAGGCAAGAACCCTCCCCAAGTTGATTTAAAAAGGATCCTTGGTGCTAGGCGTGCCCCACCTGCTGTGCGGCACCTTTTGCTAGACAAGACCCCTCCCCAAGTTGATTAAAAAAGAATCCGTGATGCTAGACGTGCCCCATTTGCTGTGAGGCACTCTTTGTTGGGCAATGGCCCTCCCCAAGTTGATTAAATTATCCAAACGAAAGACCCAAACATTTGCAACTGTGGGTACCGCAATTGTTGGTAGATTCTTCGGTGAAGCTCCCTATAGGGCCACGAAACGCTGCACATGGTCGGGGGGAACGCATGCGGGCGGTAGCACTGGGGCCGTCGGTGGAGCTTCGTACGGTGCCACGAAACGCTGTACTGGTGGCGGACGCATGCGGGCGGTGCCACTGGGACCTTGGGTGGAGCCCCCATATGGGCCCACGAAACGTTGTACTGGGTAGGTGAAACGCAAGGAGCAAGGGCTGTGCTGGGTGGTGGCGGTCGCATGCGGGCGGTGCCATTGGGACCTTCGGTGGAGCTCCCTATGGCCCTATGGGGCCACGAACTGTGTGGGCGAAGCGCAGGGAGCAAGGGCTGTGCTGGGTGGTGGCGGACGCATGCGGGCGGTGCCACTGAGACCTTCGATGGAGCCCCGTGTGGGGCCACGAAACGCTGTACTGGGTGGGTGAAACGAAGGAAGACATGGCTGTACTGGGTGGTGGCGGACGCATGCGGGCGGCGCCACTGGGACTTTTAGTGGGGTTCCCTATGGAACCGCGAAGCGTTGTACTGGGTCTGTGAAACGCAAGGAGCAAGCAAGGGCTGTGGTGGGTGGTGGCGGACGCATGCGGGCCGTGCTTCTGGGACCTTTGGTGGAGCTCCCTATGGAGCCACGAAACGCTGTACTGGGTGCGAAACGCAGGGAGCAATGGCTGTACTGGGTGGTGGCGGACGCACGCGGGCGGCGCCATTGGGACACCCAGTGGAGCCCCCTTTATGGGGCCACGAAGCGTTGTATTGGGTGGGTGAAACGCAGAGAGCAAGGGCCGTGGTGGGTGATGGCGGACGCATGCGGGCGGTGCCACTGGGACTGTCGGTGCATCCCCCTTATGGGGCCACGAAGCGTTGTATTGGGTGGGCGAAACACGGGAACAA